AGGCAGGGCAGGGGACTCTGGTCAGGCAGCCAGGCCACTCCTGGGCCGCTGAAAAGGGGGGTGGGGGGATTCCCACTGGGACGTACCAGGCCTTTGGGTCATAAGGCCTCAAGTGGGTGCCAGGCTGGGGTCCCGGTGACCAGGCCATGAGGGGCTCTGATCTCCAGTGCCAGGGAGCCCCCGTCTGCCCCACCAGTGCTGTCTGGGCTCCCCCTTCCCGTGGTCTCAGCTCCTGAGGCAGCTCTCTGGCTCTGTCCCCGGCCAGTCCCCCTGCCCCACATGGACAGGAGACCAGAGGAAGAGCTGTGCATGAGCCGGCCGTGGCACATGCGGCGTGGCCCATGAGGGGGCCAGTTTGCCCGGTCTCCGGCGGGGGTGTCCCTACAGCGTTGTGGCACTCACTGCATTGGTGAAGGAGACACCTGCCTGGCGGATCAGGGCTTGCGTCTTCTTCATCGGAGTCTGTAAGGAGACACGGAACCAGTCACCAGCCGTGAACCCAACGTGGCAGGGACAGAACAGCGCCCGCCCCTTCATGGAGACAGGGAACAGACGGACCAGTCCGTACGGCGGCGTGGGGAGGTGAGAGAGGCATATAAAATAGTGGAAAGACTAGAGAAGGGAAATCAGACACTCCCATCCCCCTCTTCCTTAATAGCAGCACAGCCCAAGAATCTCTGAAATGGCCTATGGGACTCACTGCCGCTGGGTATCATACAGCCCTCAAACTGTAGCCGGATTTAAAAAAAAGAATTAGCCATTCCCTGCGTATGATCGACATTGATGGTTTCATTAGGCAGAACACACCTTTATAAACCCGCATGCTTCAGGGCATGTGCCAGCCACTAATTGCTCATCTAGTCCAGTCCCCTGCACTCAAAGCAGGTCTAAGTATTCTCTAGACCACCCCGGACAGGTGTTTGTCTAACCTGCCCTTAAAAATCCCCAGTGATGGAGATTCCACAACCTCCCTGGGCAATTTATTCCAGGGCTTCACCACCCTGACAGGACATTTTTCCTAATGCCCAACCTAAACCACCCTTACTGCAATTTAAGCCCCTTGCTTCTTGTCCTCTCCTCAGAGGTTAAGGAGAACCATTTTCCTCCCTCCTCCTTGTAACAACCTTTTATGTACCTGAAAACGGGTATCATCTCCCCCGCTCAGTCTTCTCTTCTCCAGACTAAACAAACCCAAGTTTTTCAATCTTCCCTCATAGCTCATTTTTTCTAGACCTTTCATCATTTTGTTGCTCTTCTCCGGACTTTCTCCAATTTGTCCACGTCTTTCCTGGAATGTGGCACCCAGAACTGGACACCATGCTCCAGTTGAGGCCTAATCAGCACAGAGTAGCGCAGAAGAATTACTTCTCGTGTCTTGCTTACAACACTCCTGCTAATACATCTGTCATAAATATAAAGGGAAGGGTAACCACCTTTCTGCATACAGCGCTATAAAATCCCTCCTGGCCAGAGGCAACATCCTGTTACCAGCAAAGGGTTAAGAAGCTCAGCTAACCTGGCTGGCACCTGACCCAAAGGACCAATAAGGGGACAAGAGACTTTCAAATCTTGGGTGGGGGAAGGCTTTTGTTTGTGCTCCTTGTTTACGTGGTGGTTCTCTCTTGGGACTGAGAGAGGCCAGACAGAAATCCATCTTCTCCAACCCATCCTAATCCAAGTCTCCAATATTGCAACCAGTAGAGGTAAGCCAGGCAAGGCCGATTAGTTTATCTTTTGGTTTATGTGAATTTTCCCTGTGTTAAGAGGGAGGTTTATTCCTGTTTTCTGTAACTTTAAGGTTTTGCCCAGAGAGGGATCCTCTGTGTTTTGAATCTGAAAACTCTGTAAGGTATTTTCCATCCTGATTTTACAGAGGTGATTCTTTTACCTTTTCTTTCATTAAAATTCTTCTTTTAAGAACCTGATTGATTTTTCATTGTTCTTAAGATCCAAGGGTTTGGGTCTGTGTTCACCTGTACAAATTGGTGAGGATTCTTATCAAGCCTTCCCCAGGAAAGGGGGTGTGTAGGGCTTGGGGGGATATTTTGGGGGGAAGACGTCTCCAAGTGGGCTCTTTCCCTGTTCTTTATTTGAAATGCTTGGTGGTGGCAGCATACGGTTCAAGGACAAGGCAAAGTTTGTACCTTGGGGAAGTTTTTAACCTAAGCTGGTCAGAATAAGCTGAGGGGGTCTTTCATGCCAGTCCCCACATCTGTACCCTAGAGTTCAGAGTGGGGAAGGAACCCTGACAATATCCCAGAATGATGTTCGCTTTTTTTGCAGTAGTGTTACACTGTTGACTCATATGTTAGCTTGTGATCCACTATGACCCCCAGATTCCCCTTCTGCAGCGCTCCTTCCTAGGCAGTCACTTCCCATGTGTGTGTATGTGTGCAACTGATTGGTCCTTCCTAAGTGGAGTACTTTGCATTTGTCCTTATTGAATTTCATCCTAGTTACTTCAGACCATTTCTCCAGTTTGTTCAGATCATTTTGAATTTTAATGCTGTCCTCCAAAGCACTTGCAACCTCTCCCAGCTTGGTCAGGAAGGAATTTACTCGACAGGGAGCTCCTTGGAGCTAGGCCAGATGGACCCTCGTCTGATTCACTGCGGTGATTCCTCTAGAGCTACCCTTTGCTCTGGAAAGTGTCACTTTGACTGTCAGTTGCTTAGGAACCGGGCACCATATCCCCCCTCTCCCTCCCCCCACGCCCCGCATGGTGCTGTATAAAGAACTCAATAGAACACAGCAATTAGGGTTAGCGATAAATGTGGAATCGTTAAAGGGGAAAGACCTTAAACCTGAGAGCTCTGAGACACCCCCGGTCATTTTGGAATGCTCAGGCTTTCCCTTGGCATCTCTGCCCGCTACGCTCCACCCCGGAGCTGGCTACATTTCATAGACGCTTGGTGTGTATCATTTGTGCTTTAGGAACCCCCATGATCTGTAGAGTTTAAGGCCAGACGGGCCCATCAGATCGCTTGGCTGGGCATGTTGGACACAATAAGGATTGGCTCTAAGGGCTGGGTCGGTCGGGCTGGGGCGCGAAGCGGGGCTGGGCGCGAGCCGCGGCTGGCAGGCCAGGCAACCTTGTACACTTGCCCTGAGCACAAAACCCTGTGTCTGACTAAAGCACATGGGGCTGCAGTGGCTGCACATGCGAGGCGGGTGTGACCGTGTGGGGTGCAACTGGGGCTGTTCTGCATCAGAGGCGAACAACCGACTACTGCTACCAGCTAATTAGCAGCTAGCTCGAAGAGTTGATGCTTCACCACTGAGGGCCTGGGGTTCGACCTGCACAAGGGGGCTGACAGACCAGAGCAGAGAGAGACCCAGCTGGAAAGGGGAATCTCCCTGTGACAAAGTGGGCATTTTTCGTATTTTGTATGGATAGTGTATGTGCCTCAGTTTCCTCATGTGCTGCATGGTTACTAGGTAGTGGGACTAGGTTGTTTGCAGAGATCCAGAGCCTGAAAGGACAATGACCACTCCAATTCCCCCGGATATTTGGTACCTAGCAACTAAGGCACTCCCCCCACCCACCCCACCACCCACAGGAAGCCAGCTGGGTGGGAGCAGCTGGAGAACAAAGGGCTGTGGAGGGGCCAGGTAGGGGTGTTAAGTGTGGGGCTGTGGGAAGCAGGAGTCTCTCCTGGACTGGCACCAAAGAGGGGGCAGAGGGCTCTGGGCTGACCCTGCTGGACCAGGCTGTCACTTTCCGCTCCCTGTGCTAACCAAGGACTTTCCACCCTATGTTCCAGACACCGAATAAACCCCGACTGCTCCTACCGCGCTGGCTGAGCGTGACCACAGTCTAGGGAAGGTGGGGTGCAGTGCTCCCTTTGGGGGTACAAGTCTCCCTCAGGTTCCAACCCGGAGACTCAACTCGCTGCAGGGAGCTCACGGCATGACCCCGGGGTGCTGAAGGCTCTGGGGGTCGGTCCCAGGAGGCGGGGAAGCTGAGGGGCTGGCCCCAGTGAGAGTGTGACCCTCGGGGGGCTGACACACTGATGGGGTCCTGCCAGGGACTGTTCCAGAGCCGTGGAGAGGACCCTGTGGAGCCGTGACACCCCCAGCTCAGGAAGGAGGGGGGAGGGCCGGGCGCTGATCTCTTGACCTCTCTGCTCAGCCCAGCGTTTGCAAAGGGGGAAGGGAGGGGGTTGCACAAGGCTGGCGGTGGGGCAATCGGCCGGTCGGGGTGCCGGAGGACTAGCCTCGTGATGAGAACAATACTAAACAGCAGCGCTGAGGGCAGGGCTGAGGGCAGGGCCAGCTCAGAGCCCAGCCTGGGCTAAATCCAGAGTCACTTCAGATTGACACCAGTATCCAAATCCGACTTGGGCCCAGCCACTGTCCCCTGCCTGGTCCTTGGGGTGCGATTCCCCTCCCCCGCTGGCTCTGCTCCATTGATTCCCGGGCTGTCACTCGTGATTCACCCCGGGGGCAACGCACCAGAATCAGGCCCTGGCCCCTGGGCTCAGAGCCTGCTGGACCCAGAGGGGCTGACGGGGAGAGAGGAGGGGGGTGACTGCTGCTCCCCCAAGGCTGCTCTCCCCTGCTCTAACTCCCCGGACCACACACCTGGCACCTCTGGATCGCACCCGCCGCCCACCCAGCAAGCGGGTCTCCACCAGGGGCTCACTGCAGGGTCGGGGCATTGGAGCGATGTGTGTAAGGTGCCAAGGCGAGAGAATCGCGTAGAGGCCCCTACGCGACCCAGGTGATCGGGGGCAGAGCCTCAGCTGGAGTCACCCAGCACAGCTCCAAGCTGTGGTCCCTGGTCGCCACGTCCACCCTGCGGCGCCCAGAGCAGGATCGGTCCCCCCAGCGTGTCCCCTCACGCTCTGGCCTCCACAGGTGTTGGCGGTGTTGAGGGTATGGAGCAGCTAGGCTGGCGCGTCAGCGAGGGCAAGGCGGTGCCTGAAGGATTGATGTTCGATCGCCCGGCATAGAGGTGACCTGACACACAGTGCCACGCTCCCGGCAGCTCCCAGACAGGCTCTGGCCCAGCGTGGCCCCAGCCCAATGCCTGCTGCACCGGAGGAAAGGCTCCCATCCCAGCCGGCAGGACACCGGGTGCTTCCCCTCGGAGTTCAGCCAGCTCAGCCCTGGGAGCCAAGGAGCAGAACCAGAAGTGGAAGGAGGAAGTGGCACGTGCTGTGGGTCACGAGTGACGGACTGGGTTTCCCCTTGGCATTTACACCCCTCGAGCATAAACAGCTTGTACAGAGTATGGGAGTAGGGTCTAGTGGTTAGAGCAGGGGGCTGGGAGCCAGGACACCTGGGTTCACAGCTCTTTCACTTACTTACTGTGCAAGTCCACGGCCAAGTCCCTCTTAGTGCCTCAGTTTCCTCTCTATAACACGGGGATAACGATACTGACCCACCTTTGAGAGCCCCAGGTGACAGCGTCCGGGTGAGGGGGCCAATGGCTAGGCACAAAGGGGGGTGGGGAATCCAGGTGCGTCTGACTCAGAGGGGCAATTTCCCACCCTCCAACGCCACAGAGTGCGAATTCCAGAAGCCTGTCGACACGTCAGTGAACCCAGGAGTGGCGGGTCATAACACTGCACTGCGAGCCCTGAACCGCTCACGGACATTCGCTCATGGAGTAGCGACCATCATGCACCTGCCAAGGGGAAACTGCGGCACGTGGTGGGGAAGTGACTTGCCCAGGATTGCACAGTGGCTGGGCTGGGATCAAACACCAGGTCTCTAGAGGAGCTGTGAGGTTAACCATGAGACCCGCCCTTCCCACCACGACGGTTGGACAGCCCCCTCCCTCCATCAGGCTCGCTTGCTCACCAAGCTCCCAAGCATGCCAATGATGGTCAGTCATCAACCCCGCCCAGCTGCAGGCTTTCCGTGCCCTCCTGGGACAGACGGACCCCACCATGCATCCACGGGGAGCACTGCACTTCGGAGAGCAATTCGGATCCTGCTTTTCTTCCAAATGCGGGCAAGCCCCTGCATCCCCCGGGGTCAGCAGAGCCACCAGCTCCGAGTGTGAACTGCCAGCTGCTTCGGGGTTAACCACGCGATAATAAACCCTGCGCAGCTGCACAGAACGCGCCAAACACCCCAGCTCCTGTCATGCGCCAGCGACTCAAAACAACCGCCAGGCTGGGGCCGACCAGCGCCCTGACGGGGATCAGTACGGACACAGCCCCCCTCTGGGAGACAGCCCGGCCCTGAAGAGCTCACAGTCTGAACAGGCAAGACCGACACATGGTGAGAGGGGAAACTGAGCCAGGGCGGTGAAGTAACTTGCCCATTGCCACCAACAGAGGCAGGATTAGAACCCAGCTCTGCTGGCTCCAGGAGAGCGCCCTGTCTAGGGGAAGTTTGGCACTATCTGGGTCAGTCCCACTGCAGCGGGGGTGGGTGGCGCGGCTGGGCGGTGGGGCAGGCAGTGGCGTGGGTGGGGCTGGGCTGCGCATTGTGTGTTTACTGTGTCCCCAAGGGCCTGTGACACAGCTAAGCCATGGCATAGCCATGCAGTGTGGCCCCGATCGGTGCCCCCGGGCCTGTGCCGTGGGTGGAACGTGGCTCCATCTAGCAGTGGGGATAGAACCGTGTCAGCTGCACCCCCAGTCTTAGCTTATAAGAGGGGTCCCAGCCGTGGCAGAACAGCGAGCACCAGCTCTCACAGGGGCCCGGCAGCCACGGATCCTTTACAAAGGGGGGCGACTATCACAGGACCATGCCATGGCTGTGTGATCAGTGCTACAGGGGCCCAGTGCTATGGGGAGCGCACGGGTGGGGCTGGCAGCGCGGATGGGCCCGTGGCACGCGTGACTGTGTTACTGGGGTAACAGCCAGCTCGGCCCTGGGAGCCAAGGAGCAGAACCAGAAGTGGAAGGAGGAAGTGGCGCGTGCTGTGGGTCACGAGTGACGGACCGGGTTCCACCAGCTAAGGGCATTTACCACCCCCCTGCCCTGAGCATAAACGGCTTATACAGAATATGGGAGTGGGGTCTAGTTGTTAGAGCAGGTGGTTGGGAGCCAGGACACCTGGGTTCACAGCTCTTTCACTTACTTACTGTGCAAGTCCACGGCCAAGTCCCTCTTGGTGCCTCAGTTTCCCCTCTGTAACGGGGATAACGATTCTGACCCACCTTTGAGAGCCCCAGGTGACAGCGTCCGGGTGAGGGGGCCAATGGCTAGGCACAAAGGGGGGTGGAGAATTCAGGTGCATTTGACTCAGAGGGGCAATTTCCCACCCTCCAATGCCACAGAGTGCAAATTCCAGAAGTCTGTCGACACGTCAGTGAACCCAGGAGTGGCGGGTCATAACACTGCACTGCGAGCCCTGAACCGCTCATGGACATTCGCTCATGGAGTAGCGACCATCATGCACCTGCCAAGGGGAAACTGCGGCACGTGGTGGGGAAGTGACTTGCCCAGGATTGCTCAGTGGCTGGGCTGGGATCAAACACCAGGTCTCTAGAGGGGCTGTGAGGTCCGTGGCACAAGAAGCACACAGGTGAGGCTGGCAGCGCAGAGGGCCCGTGGCACGTGTGACCGTGTTACAGGGGCCCATGACACGGGGAGCATGGGGGGGGGCTGGCAGTAACGGTGCCCATGCCCTGTGGCCAGGGAGGGGCTGGCGGCCCCAGGCACTTACCATGCCCCCGATCTCCGTGTCCTGGTCATCAGTCAGGATCAGCACGATGTTGTGCGGGACCCCCAGCACCAGCTGCCAGGCGGCGCTCAGCACCAGCAGGGCATCCCAGCTCGCCGGGTGCCCCATGGCTGGGCTGCGACCCCCACAGGCTGCACGGTCCGGCCCCCTACCCAGCCCCGAGCCCAGCCCCAATTCCTGGCCCAGCCCCTGCCCAGCGCCGAGCCCCCAGCCCCTGCCCAGCGCCGAGCCCAGCCCCCAGCCCCTGTCCAGCGCCGAGCCCCGAGCCCCTGCCCAGCGCCGAGCCCAGCCCCGAGCCCCTGCCCAGCGCCGAGCGCCGAGCCCCCGCCCAGCGCCGAGCCCCGAGCCCCTGCCCAGCGCCGAGCCCCGAGCCCCCAGCCCCTGCCCAGCGCCGAGCCCCGAGCCCCCAGCGCACTTCCAGGAAGCGCAACTTTGCCGATCATATGACAGCTGCAAATGCACAAACCCCCACATGCCCCGGCCCGGCCCCGCCCCGCCCCCGGCAAGCCCCGCCCCTGCCCCGCCCCAAACGGGGCGGTCCTTTAGCAGTGGGCGGTGCCCACCCGACTCCCGGGTTTCCAATACGACCCGGCACCTCCAGGAGCGCGGAAGGGGGCGGGGATATATTTGCATAAGGGGCGTGGCTGCGCCCGGCTTTGACCCACGTGGAGTGGGGGCGTTTCCGCCTCAGGCTCACGCGTCGCTTCTGGGCAGGTTGGGCCGGGGGCGGACAGGCCCCCTCCCCCCATAGCTTCCCCCCCCCCGCTCCAGGCCCCCCATAGGGACCCCTCCCATTGTCCTCTTCCAGCCCCCCCATAAACCCCCGTGCAATCCCCTCCCCCAGAGCTCCCCTGGTGACCCCCCAGCCCTGACCCCCCTTAGCCCTCCCCCCAGCCCCATAGCCCGTCAGTCCTACCCTTTCCCCGCAGCCACGGCCTGCCCCCGCCCCCACTCCCTGACCCTGCTGAGTTTTGGGGGGGCCCTGCTGTGTGGGGCACCCTGGCTACTGTCCCTGATCCTCCCCCCCCGTGTTCCCCCAGCCTAGCCCGCCCGGGGTCCTGCTGGGGCCATGGCCCTGGTGCCCCTGAAGAAGAGGAGAAGGGCCCCGTCCCCACCAGCCGGGCCCCCAGGGCCTGGGCGCTTCCCCGACGTGGTGCTGTGCCTGGTGGAGAAGCGGATGGGTGCCAGCCGCAGGGCCTTCCTCACCCAGCTGGCCTGGGCCAAGGGCTTCCGTGTGGACAGGGCCTACAGGTGAGAAGGGACCTGGGTGGGTGACCCGGGACAAGGGGCAGATGGGGCACCGCCCCATAGACCCCATGGCTGTTGCCAGCCTCACCTCATTGACCCCTTGCAGCCCCCCAGCCCTCCACAGCCTAGGGCATCCAACTGGGGGGCAGGGAGAGCAGCTGGCCAGCCTGGCAGGATGAGGGGCCTGTGAATCCGAGGCCTGGCAAAGCCCAGAAGGGCCGGACCTGACAGGTTCCCCGCAAGGCAGGGGTGGCCCTGGCTGCGCCCCTTTCCCCCACTCACTCGTCACCCATCACCCCCTCCCCCAACCCGGGGGTTCCTGGGGCCCAGAGTGGAGGGGCACCCTGATGGCGCTAGGCTTGCCCAGGGCTGCTCCTGGCCTGATCTCCCCCTGGCTGAGTGGGGAGACACGGGAGGGAGACATGGCCTGGTTGGGACACCGGATCTGGTGTGGCACCTGGTGGATCCAGCTGAGCCTGGGCAAGGCTGTTGGGTCCCGGTGGGTTAGATCCCCCTTAGCTGGTACTGAGGGGCGTTCGGAAAAATCTAATGGGTCTCTTGCCTCCCCATGAGATCCCGGGGCTGGGGATTGGGAGTGAGGGGCACCGGGGGAGCTCAGGGCTGGGCTGGCAGGGGCTGTGGGTCGGGAGTGAGGGACACCGGCAGAGCTGGGGAGAGCCCTGGGCTGGCAGGGGGCTGCGGATCGGGAGTGAGGGGCACCGGCAGAGCTGCGGGTGCAGGGGGAGCCCAGGGCTGGGTTAGCTGCAGTGGGGATTGAGGGGCACCGGCAGAGCTGGGGGGAGCCCAGGGCTGGAGTTGCAGGGGGCTGCAGGTCAGGAGTGAGGAGCACTGGCAGAGTGGGGGTGGGGTGAGGAACCCCAGGGCTGGTCTAGCAGGGGGCTGCGGGTTGGGAGTGAGGGGCACCGGCGGAGCTGTGCGGGTGGGGTGGAAAGCCCAGGCGTGGGGTAAGTGGAGGGCAGAGCCATGCTCCGTCCTAGCCTGAGTCCCCCAGACTCACGTCGCTCCCCCGATTCCCTCCTGGGGTCCCAGCCTGACGCCCCCTCTCATCCCTTTCTCCCCCGCCCGGTGGCGGCCCCCCAGCGCCGCGGTGACCCACGTGGTGTCGGAGCAGAACTCGGGGGCCGAGGTGGCCCAGTGGCTGGAGCAACAGCGGGAGGAGTGCGGTGACGGCGGGGACCCCGCCCTGCTGGACATCAGCTGGTTCACGGAGAGCATGGGGGCCGGACGGCCCGTGGAGATTGAGTCCCGGCACCGCCTCAGGGTGAGCTGGGGATGGGGGGGGGGCGCTCCTGGCCCCTGAGCAGGAAGGGGAGACGGGGCATGCTGGGGGCTGGGCAGGGTGAGGGTCTCCTGGGTTCCTGGCACTGAAACCCTCCCTCCCCCCTGCTCCCCACCCCAGGTGGCAGAGCTGGCTCCGCATGGGCGGCAGATGGCACCGTACGCCTGCCAGCGCCGGACCCCGCTTCTCCACAGCAACCAGCCGCTGACGGTACAGGCTGCCCCACGGGGCCGGGGAGGGGCTGGGGGGCACTACGGCCAGGGGAGGTGGGCGTTGAAGCTGGGAGGGGCGGGAGGTGGCAGGGCCTGCTGCAAAAGCTGGGGGGGATTGGTCCTGGGGGTGCTCGGAGGCACTTGGGGTTCCCCTGGCTGCCATGGGGCTGAGCTGCAGTTCCCGGTGCCGGGTGGGGGGGTGAGTCTGGCTCCCTGGCTCCCCCAGCCCTCAGTGACTCTGCTCTGTCCCAGGAGGCGCTGGAGACCCTGGCGGAGGAGGCGGGGTTCAGCGGCAGTGAGGGGCGCAGCCTGGCATTCACCAGGGCAGCCTCGGTGCTGAAGGCCCTGCCCGGCCGGCTCGGCGCCCTGGAGGAGCTGGGGTCTCTGCCTGGCATCGGGGAGCACTCCCGACGGGTCATCCAGGTAACTCCCCCCTGGCTAGCCCCACAGGGCCCCCCGGAGCCAGGCCTGGGGGGGAGGCCTGATCTGGGGGTACTGAACCTGAGGCCTGGAGAGAGCCAGAGAGACCCTGTAGCCCCCTGCTATCCCTGCCCTGCCCCCCAGCTCAGCCAGTGCCCCCAACCCTGACCCGCAGCCCCCTGCCATCCCTTCCCTGCCCCCCAGCTCTGCCAGTGCCCCTCGGCCACAACCTGCAGCCCCTGGCTGTCCCAGGTCAGAGCTGGCACTGGGGTGTTGTGTCCTGCAGCGAGGGGCTGGGCTGAGGGCACTGCTCCGGCCCCATGGGAGGGGCAGGCGCTGGGCTCAGGGCTGTCTCTCTCGGGCAGGATGTGCTGGAAGATGGCGTCTGCGCGGAGGTGGAGAGAGTGAAGCTGTCGGAGAGATACCGGACTATGAAGGTACCAGAGCCGGGAGGGGTGTGGGGCCGGGTGCTGTTGGTGGGGTCGGGGGGCTCGTGGGCCCTGGCTGCTGCCCCCTGCCACTGGGAACGAGTGTCTGATGCCCCATGCTGCTCACGGCCGGTGGGGATTCTCTTGGGGCTCGGTGGGTGGGCAAGGAGGGTGGGTTCTGTCCCAGAGGGGCAAGGTGCCAGCCTGTGCCGAGGGGCTGGAGCTGGGGACTGGCTCCGACTCGGCAGCCCTCACAGAGATGCTGGAGTCCAAGTCTCCTGGCTCCATCGTGTTGCTTGCCCCCTGGGGACCCTCCTCTGGCGTCTCTATCGCTCTCTCTAGGCTCCATCTCCTGCGCCGGCCCCGAGCTGCCTCATCCTCCCGTGTGGCGCTTCGTTCCGCCCTGTTACCACCGCTCTGCCAGCTCTGCCCACCCTGTCTGCCCACACGGCTCCCCCTGAGCTCACGCCTGCCCCGGGCCAGGCCTGGAGCCCTGAGACGTGCCCGCCTCTGCCCCCAGGAGCCCTGGCTGGTCCAGCGGGCGCTGAGCTAGGCAATCTCTGGAGGCCCCAGCCCTCGATCCTGAGCAGGGGGTTGAGCTGGGGCCAGGGTGGGGCACACGCTGGGCCTGGTTTCGGAAGTGGGGGTCTCTGAGCTGGGGATTCAGCAGCTGCTCCCGGCTGCCCTCTGGTGGCTGCTTTAACCACCTGCCAGCTCCAGCGGGTTTATGGGCCTTGGCCGTGGTGTTGAAAAGGCTCAGACAGGTTCCCTCCTGATGGCACCATGGGTCAGCCATGACTGGACCTCACGGCGTGTCTCTTTCAGCCTCTCGGTGAGGGTCCCTTCCTGGGTACAGGCTGGAGCCGTAAGGTGTTTGATTGACAGGTTAATTATGTGGTAGAGATACCAGCTGAGCTGAAGGGGGGATCCCTGTTAGCAGTATAGGGCCCAGGACACACAGCTCCCAGCTCCTCTAACTCTGTTTCCTAAGCTAAAGGAGCGCTCCTGTGGCTGCCACCAGTAGTAGCTGCTTTATCCCAGCTGCGAGTGCAGCCGCTAGGGGGTGACATCGCACAGTTTCACTCACAGCCAGCACCGTCTGGCTCCTGTCTCCGCAGCTCTTCACCAAGATTTTCGGGGTTGGGGTGAGGACGGCCAGCCGGTGGTACCAGGAGGGGCTCCGGACGCTCTTGGACCTGCAGGAGCGAAACACCAAACTGACCAGGCAGCAGCAAGCAGGTGAGGAACTGCGGGAGAAGCACCAGGGCGGGGCTGTGCCCCGAGGCTGCTGGACATGGATGCCCGCTGGGGGTCCCTCAGGCTCTCGTTCCCGGCCCACGCTGCCTGGCATTGTCACACGGGCCCTCTACGCCCTGGCCTGGACTCTGCAGACGTGGGAGGGGCGAGTGCCCGGGGGCAGGGAGATGTGAGCTGGGCTGGACCTGGGCTGCTTCTGGTTTGGTATTGTGGGCCCCGGTAGCTTTCCGTGGTGGCCGTGTGCGCCTGACGGGAGGCACTGAGCCCGGCAGCCTCACGGCCAGACGTGGCGCGGCCCATGCAGCAGGGCGCGGGGAGGGAGCCTGGCACCCGTCTCCCGGCCGGTGCCTCGGGCCCTGGGATCCTGAGCGACGGCTCCGGTGGTTCTCCCGCAGGGCTGCGGCACTATGGCGACCTCAACACCCCGGTGGAGCGCAGTGAGGCAGAGTCCACCAGCCGGGCGGTGCAGGAGGCAGTGAAGCGGTTCCTGCCCGGAGCCTCAGTGACGCTGGCCGGCGGGTTCAGACGGTAACGGGCTGGGGGGCCCTTCTCTGCGGGGAGGGGCATCAGCTTGCCACCCTGCTGCCTCCCGAGTGGAAACGGCAAAGAAAGAACCAACGTCAGGTCTCCCTGGGAGCATGCGCGTCTGTGCGGCCGTGCTCTCCCCAGCGTGCACGGCCTGTGCCGGGGGGATCCCAGCCCCAAGCCAGACAGGCCCCTGCCTCTTAAACCCGCTGGGCGTGGGGAATCCCTGCTGGCTTGGGGCGTACGTGCTGCTGAGGGACTGTCCGTTTCTCCCCGCGCAGGGGGAAGCCGCGTGGCCATGACGTCGACCTTCTCCTCACACACCCCGAGGAAGGCAGAGAGGTGGGGCTGCTGAGCCGCGTCGTCAGCTGGCTGGACAGCCAGGTGCGGAGGGGCGGGACCTGGGGGTTCATTTTTAAAGACCTCAGATCGGGGGAGAGATCCCGGCTCTGGGAGGGCAGTGGGGTCTGGCGGTTAGAGCCGGTGGCTGGGAGCCAGGACACCTGGGTTCTCTCCCTGGGCTCTTGGAGGCGACTGGGAGCTGGTGGTTCGGGGTCGGCACTAGGCGGGTGGGGTGGGTGGCCCTGGAAATACCCCACGTGGCTGAGGTGCGTGCTCTCCCCCCACCCCCAGGGTTTGATACTCTATCAGCACAGCCAGGAGAACAGCTATGGGCTCCGGGAGGGCCCTGAGCCGCTCGGGGGCAGGGACGTCATGGACCGATTCGAGAGGTGCTTTTCCATATTCCGCCTGGAGGCGCAGGGGGGCCCGGGTGCTGCCCGAGGCTGGAAGGCCGTCAGGGTGGACCTGGTCGTGGCTCCGGTCAGTCAGTTCCCATTCGCTCTGCTTGGCTGGACCGGCTCCCGGGTAGGTGACTGGCCAGGGCGGGGGAGCCGATAGACATGGGCGAGGGCCGGACCTCCGGATGCAGGCGTGGCAGGTGCCAGAGATGAGCCAGCCCCTACAGGGGAGGCTTTGGGTTCTAGGGCCTAGCCCCGCTGCGGTGGGGTTCTAGATTTGAGCCTGTCCCACCCTGCGGCAGGGGGCCGGGGGGTTTAGATCCCAGCCCAGCACACCCTGCCCCACCCATGCTGCGCTCTGAATCTGGATCCAAACAGCCCTTTCCAATGGGCCAGATGCCCCATGTGCAGGGGAGCTGAGATCCGAACCCAGGTCAGCGCTTCCCAGCTGGGTCTGAACCAGAACCTCCGTGCCAAGCCCCGCCCGGACCTCAGGCTCCGAGTACCTGCCGAGCGACCGGCGGTAACTCCGGGGTCTGCGCCCTTTTCCCCAGCACTTCGAGCGTGAGCTCCGGCGCTTCGCCAGCCGTGAGAGGAAGATGGTCCTGAACAGCCACGCCCTGTACGACACCAGGCAGGTACGGCAGCGCCAGGCGTGGGTGGGGACACGGCTGAATGGACGGGTCCGGGGAAGCCTAGTCTGGGGTTCGATCCTGCCCCCGGTGGTGACGTTCCTGCAGAGACCTGGCACCCAGAGGAGCCCACCCCAGGGCAGGTGGTTGCACCCTTTGTTCTGCGGGAGGGATCCCCAGGCCCTCGCTACCCCACCCAAGGGACACCCAGGTGCTGGGCCCTACCTATGACCCTTGCAGGCCCTGGCACTGCCCTCCCCCAGATGCCCTCTCGCCTGCTCCCTGCCGTGCCTGGCATGAGCCGGTGGGGCTGAGCCGCAGCCTTGGTTTCAGCCGACTCCGCAGTCGCAGGCAGCCCAGCGATCTACAGGGGCCTGGGTGGAGGGTCCCTGACTTCAGAGGGGTAGCGAAATCCGCGGTCCCTCTTGCCTGGCCCACGGGCACAGCACCGGTACGCCTGGGGTAGCACCAACGTGGCTGAGCCTGTCAGCGCGGGAAGCACCGGCCCCAGGAAAGTGCAGGGTGCGTGTGGCTTGGTCGATACTCTGATTGTTGAGATCCCCAGCACGCGATGGGGGACAGTCGGTGTGGCCGGTGCTGTGTGGTGTACAGCGCACGGGGGGGGGGGTGATGGTGGCTGTGGCCGGCATGTGGCGGGGGGCTGCCGGTGCCCAGTTCTGGCCCCCCACAGGGGCTCTTGCTGGTGCCAGGGGGCGAGGGAGCTTCCAGCTGTTCCCCACCACCGACGTTCCCATTCATTAACTCTGCTCTCCCCACCACTGCTGCCCACAGCGAATCTGCCCCCCTCATTCCCCTCTGCAGCACCAGGGTCCTTGCCCGTCCCGGCGGGGGGCAGGGGCAGACTCCCCCATTGGTCACGGGGAAAAGGGGGTGGAGCCGCCCAAAGCTGCGGGTCTCTTTCTGCCCCCTCTCCTCCCCCAGCCCCGCAGAATGATGCTGGCTGTTCCCCTCCCCCTGCCAAAACACTCCTATACCTCGCAAGGGGTGGGGGGGCAACACTCTGCCTGCCTCCTGTAACCATCCTGATTGGCTGCCTTCCCCACTGCTCCGCCTCCTGGGGAAGGGCAGCCAATCAGAGGGGCTTTCCCTGTGCAGTGCTGAACTCCCTGGCACAGCCCCCGCGGGCGGCGGGCGGGTGTGCAGCGCCGGCATATGGTAGCTCCGGGGCGGGACGTCGCCTGAGCAGTGCGGTAGCAGGGTCTGCATTAGCCTGGCTCCAGCTGCCGCGTAAGGACCCCCCGTCCCCTGCCCTGCCGGCTGCGATCACCCTGGGGAGCCGCTGTCAGCTCGGGCGCTGGTTTCTTTCCTTCCAGAACCTCTTTCTACCCGCTACGTCCGAAGAAGAAATCTTCCAGCACCTGGGCCTGGAGTATGTGCCCCCCGCACAGAGAAACGCCTGAACCCTGGAGTACGTGCCCCCCGCAGAGACCCCTCACTGCCCAGGAATTCCCTCTCCAGCCCTGGAAACGGCCCCTACTGCCACCCGTGCTGGCTGCCTCCAGTGTGTTCCCCGAGTGACCCAGCCAGGCTGGCGCGAGTGGACTGAGCCCCCCGCGTCTGTGCCCAGCGCCCAAGGGCTGATCAATAAACCCCCGGCCCCGTGTTCCCCGCACTCCTGGCTGGCCGGTTGCTTGGTTCAGGGGAGGGGGGCACTAGCAGCTCTGCAGGTCGTGGCCCCTGTTTGCGGTGCGTCCCCCCCGCCCCTGGCCAGCAGGGCTCTGTCTACCTCCGCGGCAGCAGGAGAGGGATGGGGTCCCCTGGGGAAGGGATCAGTCCCACTGCTGGGTGCTCAGGTGGGAGGGAGCGAGGGGGGGGGAGTCCAGGGGGTGGGGGGTCCAGGGGTGTGTACAGCTGGCTCCTATGGCTCAGGGGAGGGGGCCCGCAGTGGTGCCATGGGGGTGCCCAGCCCCACTTCCCCAGGAGTCGGACAGCCAGGGTGAGCCATGGTGCATGCCAAGGCCTGGGGAGCCAGGCTGGTATCTCCGTCTCCTGCCAGGGCCCAGCTGGCTGGGCTCTGTGCCAGGCATGCAGCGGGGCTATGAATATTTCATGGTGGTTCCCACCATGACCCCACCACAAGCTGCCCCCTGCCCCATCAAACCCAGCCCTTTTGGCTGGGGGGCTGTGTCTGCCCCCTAGGGCCCCCACTGGGGTCAGTCAGGGTTCAGCACCTCCTGCCACCGCTGCTCTGCATGGGGGGGACCATTGCCAGGTCCCCAGGGCCTTCACTGTGCTGCGGGTCAGGGCGCGACCACATGATCCCCGGCTGTCTTCAGGGTGTGAGGAGCCGGGTGGGAGCCAGGACTCCTGGGTTCCAGCCCTGAGAGGGGGCTATGGGCTGGGCATACGGATGGGGGCTTCTTTCCCCACCCTTGGTGGGACTGGGGTCCAGGGGTGGGATTGCACATCTGGCCGTGGCCCTGTGCCCCCTTGGGGCCTCTGACAGCCTCCTGGGTCACTGGGCCTTGGCCCCAGCTGTGCAAGGGAGTGGGCCGGGCCAGGCCAGGGCAGGGGGGAGGGGCCCAAGCTGTGGGTGCTGGGAGGAGGGACAGCCTGGCTCCTGGTCAGTTCCCAGTCCCTACCCTTGTTGTCCCAGTGGCCCTGGAGGGGCTGCCCTAGACCAGGGCCCTGTGGTGACCAGCGCTGCACAGAGAGGTGCCCTGCCCCAAGGAGCTCCCGGGCTGGAGAGACCACGGGCGGATCAGAGCCCCAGTGGACAGATGGAGAAACTGAGGCACGGGAGGGCAGTGATGCCCACAACCACCTACAGGCCAGGAACAGAGCTGAGGTCTTGACTCCTGACCTGCTGTCTGTGGCCCAGGTTCTATCGCAGTGGCCGTGGGCAAGTCCCTTGGCCTGGAGCAACCAAGACATGGGGCACCATGTCTATGAATGACACTGGCATCACACCCCTGGTGGCTTTGGCAATCAGTGCTATCGACTTGTGCCTCAGTTTCCCTGACCCTGCTGAGGTGGGGGAGGGGCTCAGCCCCTGTGGCAGCATGGTGGCTGGGTAAGCAGCTGGCTGCCCGTCCTCACCCCCGTGCCACCCTCTGTGGCCAGTCGGGTGGAAATGCCAGATAACGAAGTGTGAAAAGCGTCACCTGTGAGCTGGCCTGGAAGCTGCTCCCCTGCATAATTGATGCGGTGGGGGGGTCCCAGGCAGCTCCTGGTCCGTTTCCATTAGCGTCTCCTCCAGCCGTGGGGCGTACGGGGCCCGGGCAGCACCAGGAGCGCGGCAGTGAGCTGGGGCGGCCCGGCAAGGCGCACTCAGAGGGCAGCGGGGCCAGGGGGTGATTGCAGGGAGGGGCTGGGCTCGCTGGGCAAGGCTGTAGCTAGCAGAGGGGCAATCAGTGGGGCGGGAGACACCCTGGCCGAGCAGCAATGGATGGGGTGAGACCCTGGTGCTGGGCCCCCATGGCTCTCGCTTCCGTCCGCACAGGGTCCTACCCCCTCTGTGCCAAGCCAGCTCCCCATGCTGGGCCCACATAGTGCCCAGGGCTCAGGCCAGCCTTCCCTGCTCGGGCAATGATCCGCCGAGCAGGGCCACATCGGGGTTTCCCACGTGGGAGAGGGGGGCTCAGGACACCCAGCCCCCCTCCCCATGGGCAGACTCAGCCCCCTTCCTGCCCCATAGGCTGAATTAATAGAAACCCAACCCCCTCACCCCCCCAGGGTCCTGCTGTTGATGGGCATGGGCCCCAAGTCCTTAGGCCAGGGCTGGGCACCTGGGGTGGGCACTCGCCCCTGGACTCAGGCACTGGTGTGCCTAACTCCTAGAGGTGCTGGCACCCAGGGGACCCCTGAGCTGAGTGTCCAGGCTGCCCACCCCATGCGTGGGGAGAGCTGGCTCCCAGGCCAGAACCCCAGCTGCCTAAGCCGTCCAGGAGTGAAATGCAGAGGAGGGGGGCCTAGGCCCTGCCCCTCACAGGTTTTTAGCTCCTGCTGGCCCGGGCCTCCAGGCATCTGACTGCCAGGCTGAGAGCGGTGCCCATCTCTGCCCAGAGTTCTCAGCCGGCGCGAGCGACGCATCATGTGGCAGCCAACAGCTTGGTGGCCAGGGCATTTCCTGAGACGTGAGCTGGGTTCGAGGCCCTGATCTGGGGCAAGGACTTGAACCCACGTGGCCTGTGAGTGCCCGATTCCCGGGCCATGGGCTCTGCGGGGGTGGGGAACTCAGCCGCTCCTGCTGGCACTGTTCTGCTTCGTGTAAATAATCAGCGGGTAGTTGGGCCAGGCTGGGAGGGGCCCCGGGCCAGGTCTCTGCCCTCAGCAGGGGCCCAGGCCCCAGCACTTGCTTGCCCCAGTGGATGTGAGGCCAGGCTGCAGGGCTGAGGCCCGCTCCTCAGGTGCCTATGGGGGTGGCCCCCATGGGGGCCACCTGCTGTGGGAGCCCCATGTCAGGGGGTGCCCAGGCTCCCAGCAGCCCTCGGATTCAGGCTTCTTTGCACATGCCGACCAGCGGAGAGGTGATGCCTGCAGGGTTAGGTGCCAGCTGGGCATGGGGTTGTGAATGCCAATGGCAGATGCCCCTCGGCACCATTGTGGGCCTGTCCCTGCTCCCGGAGGCGGCGAGGCCTGGGGCGATGCCACTAGCTGCAGCTTGGCAGGCCTGGGTCACGTCCCTGCATGGCCCTGGTCTGCCGCCAAGCCCAGCTCCTGTTTCAGGCTCTGGCCCTAGTCCCCTCTGTCCAATGGGGCTCACAGCATGGCCCCCCGCGGGAGGGGCTGTGGGGACAGTGGGGACCTTGGGGTCAGTAACCCTCTGAGTGAGGCCCCTGGATGGTTTTGGGGGGATTCAACCCGAACTCTGCATGACTGAGTGGCTGGGAAGTGCTGGCGGCTCCAGCCCTAGAGGGGGTCAAAGAGACTCCTCCCCAGGCCCCAGCAAGCTGAGCTACAGGCAGGCCCAGAGCCTGATACCGCACCCTGGCTGCCTGCCCCGCTCGGGGTCTCCTGCAGCTGGGCTGGGCTCCTACTGGCTGCTTCCCAACTCGGGCGAGCAAGAGGGCAGTGCTGGGAGGGGGAGATGGGACAATTGTCTGGCTCTGGACAGAGCTCAGCAGGCGTGGGGCTGTGCACGCTGCCCCCTGCCTGCCTGTACCCTGGGGGGACCGACAGCTCCCCGCTGCCCCTTTCAGCCCTGGACGGCGCCAGGGGAGTGAATACGGGTCCATGGGGCTTGGGGGCTGTGGATGATTCTCTGCTTGTGTCAGGGTGGCTGCCAACCTCTGCCCCCAAAGACGGTGCCCCTTGGAAGGGGCCCTGCTCTCTGAGTGTATCCCCATGTGGGGGGCTGGGTTTCCCGTCACTGCTGCTCCCAGGAAATGGACCCGTGTGCCAAGCTCCCACGAGCCATTGGCTCGGGCAGGGCGGAGGCGTGAAGGGCTGATACCAGGCCTGCTGCAGGAGACCTGGGCCTGAGGCCTGCTGCAGGAGAGCAGCAGAGAAACGGGCAGGCAGGGAAGAAAGCGGTCTTGGGGGCAGAAGGCTTGTGGGTCCAGCGCTGGAATCAAGAGAGCTGAGCGGTCGCGGAGCCCCTTAGTCTCGCTGTACCTCAGTTTCTCCTCTTTGTTTAGGCTGTGAGCTCCTCGGGGCAGCGCCCGGCACTGGGGGCCCCACCTCACGCAGAGCCAAGGGGTTGAGCTGGATCTCGGGGGGAGCCCCCCAAATGGGCAGGATCTGGGGAGGGGAGAAGAGGGGAGGCAGCGGGCTGCAAAGGGAGGGAGGGAAAGTCGGGGAGGGGCACTGCAGAGATTCTCTCTGCCAGACATTAATTTTTGAAGCCTCCCTTAATGATTTAGCACCTGCTGCCCCCCCGGGAGGGCGAGGGGGAGGTCAGTGGATTGTGAACTCTGGGTGAACTTGAGCTACGGAATCTGTGTAATTGTGTCACACACACACCCATGGAGGGGTGGGGGGGCTGGGAAGAGCTGGCCCATTTAAAGGGCAGGTGTCCTGCTTTGGCAGGTGGGTAGGACGGGCTGGGCAAGCCCAGCTCTCGGGGTGGCAGTGAACGGGCAGGGTGGATACCCAGCCCAGAGCCTGGCTCTTTGGGCCCATGTGCAATGCTGAGGCCAGGGAGTGGGGCCAATGGCTACCTGCCCCCCCCCCCCCCCACACACACCAGAGGAGGGACCACATGTGGGTGCAGGGAGTGGTACCCTCTGGCCCTCGGCCTGCACTTCGCATCCCTGCATTAAATCTTATGGTTACAGCGCAGAACTGGGAACCAGGACGCCGGGGTTCTAGGGCCAGCTCTGGGAGGGGAGCGGGGCTGGGAGCCAGGACGCCGGGGTTCCATCCCCAGCTCTGACTTGCTGTGGGCTTGGGGGTAAGTTCCTCCCCCCCCCCCGCTCTGTGTCATGGTGCGGGTGCCTGGCCCCACCCTGCGAGGGGGAAGCGGGCTCGGAGCCAGAGTCGGGCTCATGGGGCTCTGTGTGGCCTGGGGCCGGGCGGGGCCGGGCACAACCAGAGGGGGGCGGGGCAGGGGCGGCTCGGGGGCGGGGCCGGGGGGGCCGGCAGGTTACAAAGCCGCTGGCCCCGGCACCCCGGAGCCGCGCTGACTCCCGGGCTGCAGGAGCCGCCCCGCGGACGGAACGAGCCGGGCCGGGCCGGGCCGGGCCGGGGCCCAGCGGCGGGTCCCTCCCAGGGGTCGGATCGGCGGTGTCGCTTCGCTCCCGGACCAGCCAGTGAGTTGCAGCCCCCGGCCGGCCGGATCCCGCCCCCAGCCCGGCTCCGGGAGCAGCCCCCGGTCCAGTTCCAAGCTGCCGCCTCCCCTGGGCTGGGATCGTGCTCGGACGGAGCGAGAGACGTCCAGGGCAGCTGGGGAAACTGAGGCAGGGGGCGGCTGGAAGGCGGGGGGCGGAGGCGGAAGCGGGGGGCGCCGCAGTGTGAGCTGCCCGTGCGGACCCGGGCGGCTGAACCCGAACACGTGTTCTCAGGTGGTGGGTCCCAAGGGTGGCGCCGGGGCATCCCGGGGACCTGCCGACGAGCCCCGACACCCCCCGTCCCCCCCAGCAGGGCGCGCTCCCGTCTGGCAACCAGCTCGGGAACTAGGGCAGGGGGGCGAGTGATGAGGGGTGTGGGCGGGGGGTTGAGGGGGGCTGTGGGGGGAGGGGGCACCCTGAGTCAGGGGCTCCTCAGAGCTGGGCGCCGGTGGGGGGCGGCGTTGTAACCCATTTACACTGGTTCCGGGGCGCCTGGCTCCCAGCCCTGCCGGAGACTCCGCCGCCTGCACTGGCGAGGGACCTGCCGGCTCCCTGGGTGGCATCTCGCCGGGGGGGCAGGCAGGGAGGGGCGCCGGGCTAGGGGGCCCGGAGCAGGAGTGTTTCTCACCCCTGTGTGCCCAGGTCTGTGCCCCTGGAGGGGAAGGGCAGGCCCCGGTACAGGTGCCAGGACTGGGGGGGGGGTGGGTCCCCGGTACAATGGCGTGCGGGGAAGGAGATGGGGGCCGGGTCCTTGGTACGGTGCTGTCCCGGCTGGGTCCCTGGTATGATGCCACCCGGGGCATTGACTGGGTGCCCTGCAGGCGCTGAATCTGCCCCCTGTGCGCGGTGCCCCCCGAGGAGAGGTGCTGGGGCTCGAGCAGTTCATTCATAACTGGGGGGGCCAGGGGGGCCAGGCTCAGCCCAGACAAGCCATGGCACAAATTAAGCCCTGGGGCCCCCTCTCCCCTCCTCGGCGGTCAGCTGGATTCCTGGGGGGGGGGCGCTGCAGCCACACAGGGGGCCCCCGGGGGCTGGGGCTCAATCTCCCCCACCCCCATATTGAGGCTTTTGTCCCTTTAAACACCCTCCCGTGCCCGCGGTGACAGTCTGCGCTGCCACCCCCGGCTCCCCTCTAATTAGCATCCGCCAGGAAGTGGGGATCGTCCCCGGGGGGCTCCGCCTCGTCAGAGCAAAACACGTCACCGAGCCAAACAGCGGCCCCCAGAGAGACGGGCAGGCCCTGCAGTGCCAGGAGCTGGGAGTGACCCCGACCCTGCTCCAGCCCCTCCGGGGCGGGTGTCACTAGCCCCAGAGGGGAAGCTGAGAGAGGGGAGACCCATCCAAGACCCCACATTTCCTTAACTCCAGGGAGAGAACCCAGGAGTCCTGGCTCGCAGCCCTCCCCCATTCTAACCACTATTACCCTCTCTGAGCCAGGGAGAGAACCCAGGAGTCCTGGCTCCCAGACCCCCCCCAACCACTAAACCCCACTCCCCTCCTGGAGCCGGGAGAGAACCCAGGAGTCCTGGCTCCCAGCCTCCAGGAGCTGGGGGGATCACATTGGCTCTGTCCTGCCCGTCAGCGTGGGGGCGCGGGTGCCGGGTCTGTCTGTGCCCCCCCCCCATGCCCGGCGCCCCCACCCCAGAGCCGGCCCGGCAGCGGGGCCCCTTCCCCGCGGCACTGGGGCGCTGGGAGCGGCCCCTCCTGCCTCGGTTTCCCGCAGCCGGGCAGACGCTTGGGCCCGGCCCGGGGAGAGGCCGGAATCTGCCCCCCTTGTTGGCCGGGGGGCGCCGCCGAGAGATGAGTTTGCTGGGTCTCAGCAGCCCCTCCCCAGCTGCAGATCCGGCCCCTCCCGGCGGGGGCGCGCGGAACCCCCCCGCGCCGTGTCCACGGCGACACACCCTCCCCCCGGGGGCCGGGACACGGGGCTCGACGCTCGCTGACGCCAGCGGGGCTCCCGGGGGCTCAGTGAGGGCGTCAGGCGGGGGACGTGCGTTGCCGGGGGGCTCCCTGGTGCCCCGCTCAGCCGGAGCAGCAGCTCCTGTGGGGCGGGGCTGGCCGGGCCTGTGGGGTGTGTGTGTGTGTGGGGGGGGGGGGCTGATCGCTGCACACCGGTCGGGAAGAACCCCCCCCCCCAAGCCCTGGGCAGATTGGCGGGGGGGGGGGTCACCTGCCTCTGCAGTGGGGGCAGGGGTCACTTGCAGGTTTAAACTGGTGTAAATGGGGGAGGGTGGACCTTGGGGGTCTTTAAACCCAGCGTGGAGGAGCTGCTCTGGGTCTGCTGGGGGGGGCTGGGCCTGTTGCAGGTACATGGCTGATGAGGTGGGGGGTTGAGAATGGACCTGGGGGGGACTGTCAGCATGGCAGGGGGAGCGTGCATGCACTCTGCGGGGGCCCTGATGCCCAACTGGGCACTACGTGCCAGGAGGTGCCTGCCCCAGGGGCTGTTATTTCATGCAGGTCAGTCCCGATCCATCCCCAGGCTGCTCCAGCTGGGTCACTTTGTGCTGGGGATCAGAGGGAGCCCTGTGCGTCCTACTGATGCCCCGTTTCTCCCCTTCCTCCCGCAGGGGGCTGCGCCAGGCGTTGAGGAGCCGGTTAATCGAACGAGGGTCCCAGCCCCGGAGCCGCCCCGGAAGCGGAGCGGGGCCGGAATCCTGCGAGATGCACGGGGGCCGTAGCGCCCCGCTGCCCCTTTGAGTGGAGACAGTGCCAGGGAAGGGCTCTGCCAGCCAGCAGCAGGGCGGGGCCCCCTGGGAGCAAGGGAAGGGAGCCCCTGCAGTTAACCCTGGCCATGGAAGGGGGGTGGCTGTGAGACCCCCAGCTGCTGCCAAGAGCCCAGGCTACTTGTGCCCATCTTCCCTGGGCAAGGGCAGCCATGGCCTGCTGGTGGGCCGGCTGGCTGCTCCTGCTGGCAGAGGCTGGGGGGGCCCGCCTGGAGCAGGGGACGCTGGAGTCCTGGGCGCAGGCGGCTCCACGGCTGGGAAACGCGTCCGGGTTCCAAGCCAGCAGCCTGCAGCGCCGCCTGCCCCAGGGGATCATCATCGGGGTGCGGAAGGGGGGCACACGAGCCCTGCTGGAGATGCTGGCGCTGCACCCCCAGGTGGCCGCTGCCCGCTCCGAGGTGCACTTCTTCAACCGGGAGGAGAACTACCGCCGGGGGCTGGGCTGGTACCGCCAGCAGATGCCCCTCTCGCGCCCTGGCCAGCTCACCGTGGCGAAGACCCCAGGCTACTTCTCCTCCCCCCGGGTCCCCGCGCGCGTCCGCGCCCTGGCCCCTGGCATGCGGTTGCCGCTCATCGTGCGGGACCCGGTGGAGCGGCTGGTGTCGGACTACACCCAGATCCTGCACAACCGCCAGGCGCGCTGCAAGCCCTACCCGCCCCTGGAGCAGCTCCTGGTGCGGGGGGACCGGGGCCTCGACACCCGCTACAAGCCCATCCAGCGCAGCCTCTACGCCCTGCACCTGGCCCGCTGGCTGGCCGCCTTCCCCCCAGCCCACATCCACGTGGTGGACGGTGGCGGCCTGATCCGCGAGCCCCTGGCCGAGCTGCGCCGCGTGGAGCAGTTCCTGGGCCTGGCGCCCCGGCTGGGCCCCGACAACTTCTGCTTCTACTGCCTGCAGGCCGGGGCCCGCCAACTTCTACTTCAACCAGACCAAGGGCTTCTACTGCCTGCAGGCCGGGGCCCGCCAACTTCTACTTCAACCAGACCAAGGGCTTCTACTGCCTGCAGGCCGGGGCCCGCCAACTTCTACTTCAACCAGACCAAGGGCTTCTACTGCCTGCAGGCCGGGGCCCGCCAACTTCTACTTCAACCAGACCAAGGGCTTCTACTGCCTGCAGGCCAGGGCCCGCCAGCTTCTACTTCAACCAGACCAAGGGCTTCTACTGCCTGCAGGCCGGGGCCCGCCAACTACTACTTCAACCAGACCAAGGGCTTCTACTGCCTGCAGGCCGGGGCCCGCCAACTTCTACTTCAACCAGACCAAGGGCTTCTACTGCCTGCAGGCCGGGGCCCGCCAGCTTCTACTTCAACCAGACCAAGGGCTTCTACTGCCTGCAGGCCGGGGCCCGCCAACTTCTACTTCAACCAGACCAAGGGCTTCTACTGCCTGCAGGCCGGGGCCCGCCAGCTTCTACTTCAACCAGACCAAGGGCTTCTACTGCCTGCAGGCCGGGGCCCGCCAACTTCTACTTCAACCAGACCAAGGGCTTCTACTGCCTGCAGGCCGGGGCCCGCCAACTTCTACTTCAACCAGACCAAGGGCTTCTACTGCCTGCAGGCCGGGGCCCGCCAGCGCTGCCTGGGCGAGTCCAAGGGGCGGCCCATCGCCAAGCTGCTGCGGGAGCAGCTCTGCACCTACTTCAGCGCCCACAGCGAGCTCGTCTTCGGCCTGGTGGGGCGCACGTCCAACTGGTGCTGAGTGGGCCTGGGGCCCGCAGGGGCAGAGCCCCCCAGGCAGAGGCTGTGAAATGTTGGTATCAGGACAGGCAGGGCAGCTCCCCCCACCCCGAGCTCAGAGGACTTAGGTGCTCAGAGCAGGCTGCGAGGGGGGTCCTGCTGGGGCTGGATCCCCTGGGCACAGGAGTGTAGATGGGAAAGGGGGTGGGAGGAACCAATCAGGGCAGGAGCAGGGGGCAAGGCCGAGGTCCACATTTGCCCCAGAAGCACACTCCCAAAAGGGCCCAGAAAGAAACATTTGCCCCACAGAGCAGGGGGGGATGAAGGGACAGGGGCCTTCTACAATTCAGGGCATCTGCCCCCATATCCCCCCTTTCAGGCTACCAGCTCCCAACCTGCCACCTCCCTGAGGGGACTGGAGACCCACCTCTCCCAACAGAGGCATTTCCAGGCTGCCCCCTTTCCTGCCGGCTGAATTCCCCAGCCAGCCTGCAGGGTCTTCTCTGCGGGCTATACACAGCGTTATGGGCCCCCCTTGAGTGATGCCCCAGCTCTTCTTACGCAAGCCCCAGCCTAAGGTGAAAACATGACAGAGCTCCCCTTAAACCCAACAGACACTCCCTCCCTTGGGTCAGGCTCACTCTGGCTGTGGCAGGCTGGCAGCTGAAGACAGGCGCCCCCTTATTCTGGCTTTTGGCTGACTCCCGCCTGGAGGGGAGGCAGGGTGTGGTCACCCAGTGCACTGTGCACGCCCTTCAGGCTGCAGCCCACAAGACTCCCCCCCCCATGAGAACCCCACCCCACACCGCAGGGGGGACTGGTGGTTGTGGTGGCCCAGCCAATGCTGAGCTCAGCTGCCCCCTGGTCGCCCGTGGCCATTGCAGGTCGGTGCCCATGGAGCAGCTGGGCCAGCCCACCCGCCGGCAGCACGCCGAGGGAAGGAGCAGCCACAGGCCAGGCCCAGCACCCAGTCCTTGCACCTTGGCCCGCACAGGTGTCATGGCCGCTTAGAGCCATGTGGCTACCGCCCTCTAGTGTCTGGCTCTGGGAACTACAGCTGCCTGCGGCACCCTTAGAGATGGCAGGGGGGGCAGTTCTGGTGCTGGAGTCACTCACAGCCCATGGGTGGGCATGTCCCCCCTCCCCCCGTTTGCTACGTAACTCAGAACAGCCTCAGAACCGGAGCACTGAAGCGTGGCCCCCGCCGGCCCACCCAGCATGAGCGTTAACAGTGCCAGCCCCCGGTCCTGCGTGGGGTTTGAGCCATCAAAGGCCCAAGGGCCTTGGCCTTGCAGCAAAGGAAATAGGGATGAACGCCCTTAGCTAGAGCACAGCCTCACACCCAGCCCGTAGCTGAGCTCAGCCCTAGGGGCTCCCTCCCCCAGGGTAACAAACGGGGCTGTCTTCTCATTCCTGTATCCCACTGAACGTCAGGGCTCTAACTTTTTGTCTGACCTGTCAGGGAGACCCAGCTGGGCAGATGCAGTGGCTGCTGCCAGCACTGAGGCTGGCTGCTGCCAGCTGAACGCGCATTAAGTTTGCTGAGATTTTTTTAATTGGGTACAATAAACACTAGGGAAATGGTGTCTGCATTGTTGGGGTTGTTTGTTCCCCCAACCTGTTCCCTCAGTGCATGTTAATGAAGTGGGGGGGGGGGGAGAGAGAAAACCTGGACTTGTACTGGAAATGGCCCACCCTTGATTATCACACACATTGTAAGGAGAGTGATCACTTTACATAAGCTATTACCAGCAGGAGAGTGGGGTGGGGGGAGAGAAAACCTTTTGTAGTAATAAACACCCATTTTTTCATGATTTGTGTGTATAAAAACATCTTCCATATTTCCCACAGTATGCATCCGATGAAGTGAGCTGTAGCTCATGAAAGCTTATGCTCAAATAAATTGGTTAGTCTCTAAGGTGGCACAAGTCCTCCTTTTCTTTTTGCAAATATAGACTAACATGGCTGTTACTCTGAAGCACAGAATGGAGTCCTGAGCAAAAATCCCAGGGCCAAATTCCAATTTAGGGCTTTGCTCTATAATAGAGATGAGAGGAAAGTTTTTCCCCTCCACCCAAAGCTTTGAAATAAGACAACTTTCCCTCTAAAATATGTATTTTTGAATGGAAAATGCTAAAATTCTACATGCAGGAGCCCTTCCACTGATGGGGTTAGATCCAATACATGCCCCTGGCAGGAGTGTGAGGATTTTCCACCCTGTCTGCTGCCCCGTACATCCTGTTACATAACTGCCAGACCGGACAGGAGAAGGGAGATGATTATTCCCACACTGACCATTTACGATGTCAATTTCCAGGTCTGACCTGAACGGACATTACCATGCTGAGCACCTTCCCCAGTACCTGACAACGTTTCTGTAAGAGCTCCACACACTGGGGGCTAAGAGGATGGGCCCCTTGGGGGCAGCCATAAAGAGCCCTCTATCAAGTCTCTCTTCCCTACATACATACTTTAGATTATGTTCAAGTCACTCCTTAACTTTCTCTTTGAGGCGTTATATAGCTCAGCCTCCTTGAGTCCCGCACTATACCGCATGTTTTCCAACACTTTAATGGTTCTCATGTCTCTTTTCTCAACCCTCTCCAATTTTTCAGCACCTTTTGTTAATTGTGGACACCAGAGCTGGACACAGTATTCCAGAAGCAACACCAGCACCAAATACTTTTCGTTTAGCTGTTTGATGCAAGAGCCCCATTTTCACTGTTCAGCTCACAGTAGCACTGTTCCAAAGGTTTAGAAAGCCAAACCATCTAGATAGAGGATAGGAGGAAACTAAGTACTGGGACGTAGCTGCCATAAATATAAAGGGAAGGGAAACAAGCTTTCTGTATGCAGTAATATAAAATCCCTCTTGGCCAGAGGTACAGAATCCCCTTACCTGTAAGGGGTTAATCAGTTCTATTAACCTAGTTGGCACCTGACCAAAAGGACCAAGGAAGGGGGGGGAAGAAAGAGAGAAGAAAGGCTTTGTTTTTGTGCTGTGTGTGTTCTCTGAGACAGAGAGAGAGACCAAGCAAGTAATCCAGCAGCTCCTACTGAAATGATACTTACTATTGCTGTAATATTAGATGTAATAGCAAGGAATGCGTTAGCTTGTGAATTTTCCCTGTGCTAAGAGGGAGGTTTATCCCTGTTTTTTATAAATTTTAAAGTTTTGCCTAGGGGGAATCTTCTGTGTTTTAAGTCTTACTACCCTGTAAAACTACCTTCCATCCTGATTTTACAGAGGTGCTTCTTTTACTTTTTTTTTCTTCTTTATAATAAAGTTCTGTTTTTTAAGAATCTGATTGGGTTTTAGTGTCCAAAAAACCCAAGGGTCTGGTCTGTGCTCACCTTGTTTACCTATCTGGTTGGTAGATTATTCTCAAGCCTCCCCCGGAAAGGGGGTGAAGAGGCTGGGGGGGGGGGGGGAGATGATATTTTGGGGAAACAGGAACTCCAAGTGGTCCTTTTCCTGAATCTTTGTTTAACTCACTTGGTGGTAGCAGCAGTACTCATCCAACGACAAGGAAGGATGTGCGCCTTGGGGAAGTTTTTAACCTCAACTGGCAAAAATAAGCTTAGGGGGTCTTTCATGCGAGTCCCCACATCTGTACCCTAGAGCTCAGAGCGGGGAGGGAACCCTGACATTGTGGGATCATTTTGAACCAGAAGCACAGACCTTCGGCTTTTAAAAAGAAAATATTTTTTCTTTTGACTGCTTGAAGTCAAGGAAGATTTTTTGTTTTGTTTTTTTTCCTCTGCCTCAAGGCAGAGTAGTTAAGTCCTGCAAGGGAATTCACAAGCTTTTTTTTTTTCTTCCCTCTCCTTTCTTTTCTTTCCTTTCCCTTTCTCCTCTTTCTAGCTCTCAGGTTAAGCTAGGCTAAGCACAGGGAGGTTAGGATGACAAAGTGATGTCCAAAACGAAACCAGATTTAGTCAGAGGGGAAACGGAAAAAAGAAAGAACATGAAAGACAACTGGAATTAAAAGAGATGGAGATTGATGCACAAGTGGCCAGAGAAGAGAAGGAAAGAGAGGCAGCATGCTCTGGAGAGCAAAAAAGAGAGAGGAAGCATGAACTGGAGGTGATAAAGTTAAAAGGACAAAACCTTTCAGCAGTTGGCTCCACCTCCCCAAAAATCCACAAATGGGAGCGATTATGTCCACAGTATGATGAATCCAGTGATATCGCTGAATATTTCATCATCTTTGAGAGACTGTGCACCCTCCATGCAATTCCTGAAGATCACAAGATGACCACATTGGTAGCAAAATTCACTGGAAGAGCTCTGGACATATTCATTCAACAAGATGCCTATTGAGGATGCTTCTGACTATGGTAAATTCAAGGATTTGGTTTTGAAGCAATTTCAAATTACACCTGAAACTTACAGAGTGAAATTTAGAGCCTTTAAGAGAGGGGGTGGACTAAGTAATGTGGCTTATGTAAACCAGATGAAGGATCTGTTAAATAAACGGGTCAAAGAAAGGGGTGTAACTAGCTTTGAAGGAATGTGTGATTTGGTTGTCCAGGAGCACCTCCTGACTATGACCAATGATGTAGAACAGTGTTTATGGGATAAGAAAATGGACTCAGCAGAAAGTCTTGCTTCTTATCCTGATCAATATGAGCAGTCTCAGTCTGTCAGAGAGGCGGGCAAATCGGAACAAAATGGGTGGAGGTAGCAGAGAGGAAGAACCCTGGTCTCAGTTTGGGTGAATACCAGAGGGGACACCCCAAGACCACACCCTACCACCAGGGGCAGCCCAAGGTGCCAACTACACTCAAGGAAAACCCCAGACACCTTATTGTTCCACCACACCATTCTCCAGCAATTGACCCTGCCCCAGTGACCAGTCAGCTGGGCGATGTTTTAAATGTAACGAGCTGGGGCATGTAAAGGCCAACTGCCCCAAGAATCCCAACAGACTGCAATTCATTGCACCAGGGTCACACCAAAGGTTCTCAGGCCCAGATGCCTCCCAGGTACCCTCAAAGTGAAGGGAAACAGTGTGGGCAGGAAGGTTATGACCTGGAGGGACACTGGAGCACAGGTGTCAGCTATCCACTAATCCCTAGTGGACCCCAAATTCATCAACCCAGA